CCGCGTAAAGGCCGGGGCGGGGCCGCGACAGAGTCGGCGGCGGGGCCGCGTGAGAGCCGGCGACGGGGCCGCGTAAGGGAGGGCGGCGGGGCCGCGTCAGTGGAGGCGGCTGAGCCGCAGGGGAAAAGGCGACCCGAGGGGTCGCTAAAAAAAAATCGCGCCTCGGGGCGCGCTTCGGTGGGCCCAAAAAAAAAACGATCCTTAGAAGGACCCGCTCTATACCATGTGAGAATAAGCGAACAGGAATGAATGAACTAGCAGTGAAAATGAGTACAAGTAGGAAACCCTAGAATTGTGTACCCCCTATAGGCTAACCCACTGTAGCCTACACAAGCATAACATATATAATGTTTGACAGACTCAGACTCAAACATTTCTGGAGTCTGACCCTACAGAGTAAACTTCCTGTGGTCCCTGGATGCGAGTTTATCGAGACGAAGCTTCTTGGAAATTTCCTTCCAATATACCCACTTTGAGCAGTAAAAGTGCCAGCACGTGAGCAAGGCACGGTGCACCAGCTGTTTGACACTCGAATGCACTCGATCTTCACGATCATCATGCAGTGCTAAGGGCGTGTCTCTTTTTTGCTTTTATGGATTTTGACGGACTGTCCGGTTGTATGTAAACGGACAGTTGCAATAGCGAGTTTCGGACAGTCCGATTCAAAATTTCAAAACATTGGACAGTACGAAGGCAAAAGCATCACTTTCCCGAGTGCATCAGTATTCCAAAGTACTGTAGCATCGCCAGGCATCGTACACTCACGTAACCTCAGTCACACCCCATCGCCAACTTCGCATAGCCAGGCCGCGACTCGATGCCCCCTGAAAGCCAATCGTCAACCTTCTACATAGGCTATACCACACCAATTCAGTAAACAACGTCGAGGCACACACACGTAGCACTATCAAAACAGAACGATTGCAACGCCATGTCTAGGAGGCTGCTCCTATCAGTGCTCCACCTGCTTTAGGGAGGCTACCACGAGTTCATCGTCCGTCCAGCCTTTGAACAGCTCACGGATATCATTCTACTGCTTGAGGACGATGACCGCAACACGATGCGTAATGACCGTAGGAACCAGCGGGCACGATGGGATGTCCTTCTCGACTCCTTGCCTTACCGCATATTCATTGAAACGTTTAGAGTTAATCGGGCGGTGTTTGACTACCTAGTGGAGGCGTGGATAACGCGGAACGGGGACCGTCGTCGTGTAGTGCCCATTGAGACAGTGGTGGCTATGACTCTAGTGTATCTTGGCACGGGTGGCACATTCCGTCAGGTGGGATTGCAATTTGGGATTGCAACATGCCTTCCGCCTCATCTACAGGTTCATAGCGTTCATTGTCAACGTGTTGGAGCCTCTGTGGGTTACACACCCCACCCTTGACCAATGTGCAGAAATGGCGGCAGAGTTCACTTACGAGGGGGGGATACCGGGTGTCATAGGGGCATTGGATGGGACTTTTATAGAATGCAGGGGGTTCGGACGCGACAAAGAAGACTTCAAAAACAGAAAGGGGTTCTACTCTATCCACCTACAGATAGCTTGTGATAGCAACGGCATTATCTGGGACTACAACGTCGGCTATCCGGGGAGTGTGAATGACGCGCGGGTGTTCAACAACTCACCCCTCCGAGAGTGCATGGAAGCAGGGGATTTAGGCAACTACATGCTGGTGAGCGACGCCGCGTATGCCTTGAAAAACTACACATGCGTCCCATGGCGTGCTACACCGGGACGAGCTCTGCCAAGGGCTAAGGACAAATGGAACACACAACAGTCAAGGCAACGGATGGTGGTTGAACAAGTGAACGGGAGATTGAAGGGGAAATGGCGGATCCTTGATGCTCGTATGGAGTGCCATAGTGACCGCGTCCCGCAGGTCGTGAGCGCGTGCGTCGCGATGCACAACATCGAGCTGACGATCGGTAGCCGCGATCGACTCGGCCCACCAAGCGAGCGGAATCGTTGGTGGCTCGAGGGTCCGGCGTCACGGCTTCGACTCACCGGCTCCGAGGTCCGCGGGTTCACGCCTCGTCTTCGGATGAAGAGGTGGACTGCGGCGATCTACGCCTCCTACTGCGTCGCTCATCCGCGAAGCCGCGAAACACCTCCCGGGTAAGCGCCACGAACTTGCTCCAGTTCTCCTCTTGACGCTTGTCGTTATGGTCGCGGAGCTCTCGAACAAGATCCGCCGTGCTCTGGGCTCTGGATCGCCCAGTAGATTTCCGACCTTGGCCCTTTGATCCTGTGTTACCCCCCTTGCCAACCTTGCCTTCTGGCTGCTGGCGAGGATACTGATACCATGCATGCCGGCTGCATCCCTCTTGCCCATCAGACGACGCGAGCGCTCCCCCGACTTGGCGACGACCACGGATCGAGACACCCGTCGTCGCACCTGATTCCGTCGCGGCGGCAGTAGGAGACGCCGACGGGATGGTGTCTGGCGATAGAGGGGACGTATTCCCGCGGCGGGTTGCATTGTCTCGAGCAGGGGAAGGTGCAGGTGACGCGGGCGGGGGATTGGGAGTTGGAGATGTGGGCGCCACCACTCCAGTCAGCGTGGTCTCAATAGCCACCGGGGGGTTGGAGGGTATGGGATGCGGGAGTGGCGGGAAAGGCGGTGGTAGCGCGATGCTGGGAGCCGGACTGTCCGTGTTCGAGGCGGCATTCGGTGTATGCGACGGGGACGTCGCATTCGTTGTAGATGGCCGACGACGAGCGTTTGCGGGAGGTGGCGTTACCGTCGCAGACCTGGAACTTGTGGCTCGATTGACGCCCGTGCCTGCAAGTACGGGGGGGATGGTACTTGGGCGCTCACCCCATAAAGCGTCGCCGAGGTGGAACCAAGGAGGCAGACCAGTGGCGCGTCCCGCCCCCGAGCGCTTGATGCGATCGTTGATGCGGCGCCACTGCTCCTTCATGCGATTGTACTTGGCTTTAAGAGCGGAAATGTCGTGGCGCCACGCCGGATTTTGCAGCAGGAGCTCCTCCTGGATGAGCGGATACCAGCTTCGGCCTTGCTGACCCGTACGCGCGCAGATTTGGGCCTGGCGGGAGATGAAAGCGGCGAGGACCTCGCACTCCTCCTCTGGGGTCCAGCGCGGCTGCGTCCTCCCCGTAGATCTGCGTGACGGAGCGGTGGTCTCGCGGGTCGGGGACATCTCCTGCTCAGCGAGCTCCTCCTCAACCTCCCCGAGCGTCGCGGCGTTGTCCATATCTGCGCCTAGTCCGTAGTCGTCGCCGGCGTCGTATGAGGCTGTGGGAGACGGGATGTGGAAGACCCTCCAGTCAACTTGTGCGTTGGTGGTTGTGGTCGGGGTTTGAGCATTGGCGGGAGTGGGATTTTGAATATGAGACTCTTGTGTCTCTGGTGCAGCAGCATCCGGATCAGGTTGGGTAGAGGTAGTAGGGACGGAGGTGTTGGGTGTGGTGTTTGCCGGTCCAGAGTTCTCATTTCCGCTGGACTGCTCCATTGCGTGCTGATTGTGGTGGTTCGGTTCGAAAAGGAATCGTCTTTGTAGTGTAGACGGGCTAGTGGGGGTGTCTACGGTTCAATGTTCTATTTGGCGCCGCGCGCCCAATATTTTGTTTAGACATGCGGCTCGGTGTTTTTTTTCGTTTTTTTCGCGCGCCAATCAGATGTCAGAGATTGAATTCCGTCCGTTTGCACGTCGAACTGACAAAGGTCCACATTGTGAACCGTTGCTTGGAGGGAAAAGTGATGTGACGTTTCGAACAGTGGGCGAAATCGCGAAGACCATGGCGAAAAAGTTGCGAAACAATGCGAAATAGGTAACCTTTTCGCGAGCCGGACGGTCCACGGTTCGAACCGTCAGCGTAAAAAAAGAGACACGCCCTAATGGTGTTAATGGTAAGTGGTGAAGCGGGAAATTTAACGGAGCCAAACTGGGAAATCTAGCCGATTGCTCAACAAATCGGCGAATAGAACAAAGAATCGTTGGAAGATAAGTTCTCCGCACATTTGGTATATCGCAATGTTTGGTGCTTTGAGACTTTTCTCCGTGCCAAAACGTGTGACAATCACCTAAATCTCAATGAAAAGGAAAGAGATTGGTGCACCCAAGGTGTAGGCTGGTCAGAAAATGATTTCGCTGCTGATTCGTACAACGCTGCCGAACAAGTTACGTGCAGCACTGCCTGGTTCTCCCACACCAAGCGACTGTTCTTGACTGCTGCCAGCTCAGCTGCGAGGCAGCTCGCTTGCTGGCACTTCCAAAGTCACGCGACAAGTGCCCCTTGCATTGCTAGCATCACACATGAACTGGAACAGTCAGAGCAAGCCACAGACAAACAATTGCTATAAATAGCGACAAAAATTTGGCTCTCACGCGACACTTGGAAAAATGCGACAAATCACACAAGTATCCTGCAGTGCTGATCATGTTCCCTGATGCGGATCCGCCGACCCTGATTGGTCAGACTGTCTGACTTCAGGGCACTGACCAATCAGAGTGCCTCATTTCTGGCCGAAGTGCCTTCAGAGTAAATTTTTTTTTTTGGGGTGAAGATCAGAGTGCTTGAATTTGAAGCGCCAGCCCTGACGTCGCCTCTTGTTGCTCTTGAAGGGCATAAATTTGTGAGGGAATTGAAGTGGTTGTATGGAAGAATCCTCCGTGCAATAGACGCAGCACATGTCATGGAGGAACCATTTGCGGGACGGTGTTCAGGCAAAGCAAAACACACATTCCCATCCCAAATCATGCGACAAATTGCTTTGCCCACACACACCATGCCTCCCACATCCATATCATCATGCTCCTCATCCTCAAAACCTCCTCTTGAGACATCTTAAAGGCCACTCAGTAATCACCAGCCAGCCACTCATCAATGAACACATAGCCCCACCCCGCCTCCTCCCAGAACCTGCTTCCCCACCTCGACCCCTACTCTTCCTCCCATAGCCCCCTACTCTTGCTCCCATTACCCCCTACTCTTTCTCTTATTATCCCCCTACTCTTCCTCCCATAACCCCCTACTCTTCTTCCCATAGCCCCTCCATTTCATCGCTCTCTTCATTCCCCTCGTGAGCATCCATGAATCCTCCCTCCCCCTCGTTATAGTCACCTCCTCTCCCCTCGTTGTAGTAACCTCCTCCTACTCCTCTTCCTCCTCCTCTTGCCCCTGCAGCACCAAACCCTCCACTGCTGTGCCCAAAACGGCCGCCGCTGCCCTCTCTGAAGTCACGATCGGAATAGTCACCACCAGCACCAGTACCATCACTATCATCCCCATCATCATCACCACCACCACCACTACCACCACCATCGCTATAGCCAGCGCCAGCAACAACACCACCACCATCACCACTACCACCACTGTAACCAGCAGCAGCACCAGCACCACCACCACCACTCACCCCAGCAGAAAAAACAGCATAGCCCTGCCCACCCCCACTTCCCCTCTCTGCTCCTCCCCATCCTCCTTCCCTCCTCCCCTCTCCTCTCTCTGCCTCCCCTCCTGCCATCACCCCTGTAATTCTCCTCCTCACTCTCCTCCTCTTCACCTTCGCTTCTGCAAAAGGTATTCCCCCACTTCCCCCCTCCCCATCGCTCCCCTCCCCTCCCCCAACTCCTCCCCCTATTGCTCCGCCCACTCCTCCCCCTCGACCTTCTTCCGTCCCCTCTGCTTCCCCATCCCCTTGAATGCCAATAACTGCAATGTCTGCAACCTTTGCCCCCCTCCCCCTGCCTCTCCCCCTCCCCCTCCCCCTCCCTCTCCCCCGCCCCCCTCCTGCCCTCCCCGCCCCTCCTCTCCCCCTTCCCCTCCTACCACCCCCTCTCCCCCTCCCACCCCTTCCCCTTCCCCTCCCCCCCTCCACCACCCCCTCTCCAACCCCCACCCCTCCCTCCCCACCCACATCCACACTCTCCTCTCTCTCACTCTCATCCACCCCTAACACTTCCACCCCTTCCTCCTCTCCACCTCCTCTCCCTTCTTCCCCTTCCCTCCTCTCCACTTTCAGTCTCTTCCTCTCCCTCCTCTGCATCAACCTCTCAGCCTTCTCTGTTAAAATCTCCTGGGCGTCCCTCCCCTGCTCAATCACCTGAAGCCACTGCGACTCACTCAGCGCATCCGTATAAACCACCTGCTTCCTCTTCCTCCTCCCCATCTCCACCCCCACCCCATCCTCCCCCACAGCCCCCTCCCCACCCTCCCCTCCCTCCCCCCCCTTGAAAAACACCCACTCCGGCACCTCGTCCTTTTCCATCAGTCCAAGCCGCGCCGCCCCAAACTGCCGCCTCCGCATCTCATCCATCCGCTCAAACATCTCAAACTCCTCCTCCGATCTCGAAATCAACCGATTCGTCTCACTCTCATCCGGCAAATCAAGAGCCAAATCGGGAATCTTCCCTCGCTTCATAATCTGCTCCAATAGCTCTCTCCTCTCCTGTGCCGTCGACGTGGTATTGAACATGCCCGCTTGAATCACCTTCGCGTCGATCCCCATCTTGCTTTTTGCCCTCTCTAAAATCTCCTCCTCTATAGACCCCACGCTCACAAGCACAAACACCCGAACCTCCCGCTTCTGCCCAATCCTGTGCGCCCGATCCTCTGCCTGCTGATCCATCTGTGGATTCCAATCAGAATCAAATAAAATCACCGTATCGGCCGTTTGCAGGTTCAGCCCCAGGCCGCCCGCACGCGTGCTCAGCAGGAAGATAAAATACGGCGAATCCGGAGCGTTGTACAGCTGTAAAAGGCGGCCTCGTTCGTCTGTTTTGGTCATGCCGTCCAGACGCAGATAAAGCATGCCGACCGATCGCAGGTAATCCTCTAACAAATCCATCACCTTAGTCATCTGAGAGAACATTAAAATCCTGTGCCCCCCGGCCTGTAACTTGGGCAGAATCCGGTCCAGCAGCTCAAACTTTCCACTTGCCCGAACGCGCTCGTTGGGGGAATTCGGCTGGTAGGGATGGTCGAGTGCGTCTAGTAGAAAGAGGTACGGGTGGTTGCAGCACTTGCGCAGCTGCATGGCTGTGTTCTGAAGCGCTCTGGATTTGCCTCCTCCCCCGCTGTCGTCTAGGCCGACGCAGCCGGCGGAGACGATTTGGGAGTAGTACTCGCGCTGCCATGCGGACATGTCGCATTTGAGGATCACTTGGCGCTTCTGTGGGAGGAATTTCTCGACTTCGGATTTTTTTCGACGGAGAATAAAGGGACGGATGACCTGGGGAGAAGGGGGGAGGAGAAGGGGAGGAGAAGGGGAAGGGAGGGGGAAGGGAGTAGGATAAGAAACGGAGGGCAGTGGAGACGTGAGGAAAGAGTAAAGGAGGGGGCGATTTGGGAGTGGTATTCGCGCTGCCACGCGGACATGTCACATTTGAGGATGACTTGGCGCTTCTGAGGGAGGAATTTCGCAACCTCTGACTTGTTTCGACGCACGATGAAGGGCCGGATGACCTGTGGAGGGGGGAGGAGAATGGGCGGGGAAAGGGGAGGGTTTTGATGGTAGGGGAAAGGGGGAGATCACTCGTTGGCACTTCTGAGGGAGGAATTTCTCAACCTCTGACTTCTTTCGACGCAGGATGACCTGGGGGGGGTGGGGGGTCGGGGGAGTGGGGGGAAGGGAGGGTAAACGAGGAGATGAGTTGCGGTGAGTTCACTTGTCGCCACTTCTGAGGGGGGGACTTCTCAACCCCAGACTCCTTTCGACGCAGGATAAAGGGATGCAAGACCTGTGTGGGCCGATGGGGGTTAAAGGAAGAGAGGGAGGGTAGGGGACAGGAGGAGAAAAAAAAAGGGGGGGGAGGGAAGGAGGAATGGAACGCAGGGGAAGGCCAGGAGGAAAAAGATCGGAGTCAGTCACATTGCACTTATCCGAACACAGTGCATTAAAACCTTAAGAAAAAAGGAGATCAACCCACCTGGTGCAGCCTCCGAATGACCAGCAGCTGCTCCTGCTCGTTCAGAGACACGCCTGCTTTGCAACCAGCCAGGTCAAACCAAACGCACCTGGTGCAGGCGTCAAATGACCAGCAGCTGCTCCTCCTCGTTCAGAGACACGTGGCACTTATCCGCAAACGGCGCATTACACCTACCTACCAACACCAAACCAAACGCACCTGGTGCAGGCGTCGAATCACCAGCAGCTGTTTCTCCTCGTTCAGAGACACGTCGCACTTATCCGCAAACGGCGCATTGAACCAGTCCTCGAATGTACCACGCATGCTTCAAACCAGTCACACCTGTTTTTCCTGTGTTCCTTTGTTCCTTTGTGTTCTTTTCAGGAAGAAGGGAGAGGGGGAGGAGGGGGAGGGGGAGGAGGAAGAGGAGAGGAGGGATGGAAACATTTCAGAATAAACCCACCTGGTGCAGCCTCCGAATGACCAGCAGCTGTTCCTCCTCGTTCAGAGACACATCGCACTTATCCGCAAACGGCGCATTGAACCAGTCCTCAAAATTGTCGCTCGAGTTGAAAATTGCGGGCAGAAGAAAATTCAGCAGTGCCCAGAGCTCCCCGAGGCTGTTCTGAATCGGCGTCCCGGTCAGCAAAAGTCTTTTCCGGATCGAGTAACCAGCCACCAGCGTTTTACTAAGTACCGACTCGTGGTTCTTAAGCCGGTGACCCTCGTCTACTATCACATAGTGCCACTTAATCTTTTTTAGGAACGCCTTATCCCTGATAATAAGGTCATAGTGCGTCAGAAGCACACTGAACTTATACTCTTCCCCTTCTGGCCCAGTCACTCCCCCTCCTCCCCCTCCTCCCCCCACTCCCCCCACTCCCCCTCCTCCCCCCACTCCCCCTCCTCCCCCAGACTCCTCACTCCCCCAATCATCATCCACCACACTCCCTCCTCTCCCTCCCCTCCCTCCTCGCCCTCCCCCCCTCCACCCGCCCCTCCTCCCTCCTCCTCCTCTCCTCCCTGCAAGCGCCCCTCCAAACTTCTCTCTCAGAAGCTTCCTCTCGTCCTGCCTTCCATCATACATCACCACACTGCAAGAGGGAAACCACGCCGCAAACTCCACTCCCCAGTTCGGAAGCACAGCCTTGGGAGCCAACACCAGATGCGGGCCGTAATCGCCCTTTTTCTCCGCCATAAACGCGATAAAAGCGATCGTTTGTATGGTTTTCCCGAGCCCCATTTCGTCCGCCAAAATGCCATTTAAATTGTTATTATAAAGGGAGACCATCCACTGTAACCCCTCCATCTGATACTGCCGAAGCTGCCGCCCGGGTGACAATAACGAGGGCTGCTCCGTCACCTTCTCTTCTATCGAATGCACTGCTCGATCATACCGCCTCTGCCCCTCCATTAAGTCACGCTTCGACTGCCCTGCTGCCCCCTCCTGCGGCCCCTCTTGCCCCTCTCCTGTCCCCCCTCCCTCCCCTCCTGCTCCCCCATCCGCCTCTGCTGCTCCCCTCCCCTCACCTCCCCCAAAAGCAACATCAACCCCTCCTCCACCCCCCACACCACCTCCCACACCACCCTCCCCACCACCACCCCCACCCCCACCAGCATCTTTCTGTTTCTGAACCATCGCCCCCAGCCTCTGTAAAAGCTCATCCGTTTTCCCTAAAAGAGTATGCAACCTCTCGTTCTTACTCTCCTCCACTAGTTTGAAATACGCCTCCTGATCCCCAGCTTTAAGTGCCTGCACTCGCATTCGCTCAGCACGCGACGCCCGCTGCTTCTGACGCGCGTGCCACGTCAGCACGCCGTCGCTCCGCTGCTTCCGCCGCCGCTGCTCCGCCAGGCTGGCCGCTGACATGTCGCGCCCCGCCTGCGCCACGTCAGCGAAGAACCGGGCGGCGGATTCTACCGAGTCTGCCGCCCGACGGGCCCGTCGAGCCGCCTTTGGAAAGGAAAGGGGGAAGATGGGGGGTGGGGGGAGATGAGGTTGGGAAAAAGGTTGGGGGAGGTAGAGTAGTGGGCGAATGGAAAGGGGGGAAGAGCACGGAGGGGAGATTGGGGAGGAACAAGGGATGGCAGCTTGAATCACTATTGAAATCACAAACACCAAAATACAGAAAAACTGACCACACAACAAAAAACACATCTCACAAATAGGGGAAAAACTAAACGACAAAAAAGTAAACAAAAAAACCACAGACAGGGTGATAAATCAACCACCAAACCCACCTCAATCGCCTCAGAAGCTTCAAAATCCAAATCCAAAACCCCGCCAACACCAATTCCATTAACACCAGCCCCACCACCAGCAGCCCGAGCAGCCGCCGCCGCCGCCGCTGCAGCATCCCTCTTCCTTGCCTCTATCTCAAACCCTAACCCCTCCTCATAGTAATCCTCGTCCCATAAGTCTTCCACCTCAGCCTCCACCTCCCACGCCTCCACATCCTCCTCTGATGGCTTCATGCCAGGTGGCAGCTGCCACCTCAGCATCACGCGTTCCACGTCAGCATGCGTCAGACGCAGCAGGCTCCAGTCCAGCAGCGGCTGGTGCCGCCCATGTGCCACGTTGGCCTTCATGATTCTCTCTTCCTCCTCCTTTCTCACTCGCTTCTCTCTCTCCTTATCCACTTTCTCACTCTCATCCCCCTCTCCCAATACCTCTATCTCACTCTCACTTTCAACTGCTCTCCATTTCTTCCCCACCCGCCCACTTTCCACTGCCACATCTTCTACCACTTTGACTGTATCCGATTCGTCATCGGCCAGCTCAGCACGTGCCACGTCAGCATCTGCCACGTCAGCATGCCCGTTCACCGAACGACCAGTCAGCTCCCCGCCCGAAGCCCAGTCAGCGATCCTCTTCTCAGCTAGCACCTCAAAACGAACCTTCCTCTGCAACCCACGAAGCTTCAGGCACCTGAGCTGGATCTCCAATGATCTCCTGACAGCTGGCGCCTGCACAACCGCCAGCAAGGATTCCAGTTTCACAATCCTCTCTCCCACTTTCTCACTCTCCTCCCTCTCCCCTTCCTCCACGAGCTTCCCCCACTCCCCCTCTCTCACCATCTCCCTCCCCACCCTCACTCTCTCCTCTGCCGCCCGCCTGATCCTCCTGAGCGCCTCGACCTTCTGACGCACCAGCTGCGGCGGGAAAAGGCCCGCCAGCTGGCGGTCCGTGAGTGGCTGGCCAGCCGCCAGCGTGGCGAAGCAGTCGCGCTGCGATTGGAGGAGGGAGAGCTGAGCTGGCGTGAGGGATAAGAGAGGGGCGGCGGGCGTAGGACTAGGAGGAGGAGGAAAGGGGGGAGGGAGGTGTGAGGATGGAGCAAGAGCAGCAGGAGGGGGATGGGGTGGAGGAAGAGGAGAGGGAAGAGTATTGGTAGCAGAGAGGGGTTCTGCAGCAGAGACAGGGGCATGAGCTGGGGGTGGCGGTGTGGGCAAGAAGGAAGATACTCTAGTGGCCGCATCAGCTGGTGCGTCAGCAACAGGTGAGTCAGTAGTATCCGCAGCAGCACCCACTCCAGTCTCTGCCTTCACAGCAGCAGCAGAGATTTGAGCTGACTCGGGAACCTCAGCATCGCTGGGCAACTCGAGTGAGTTAATACCAGCTGTCACTTGAGCGTCCAGCTGAGCGTCAGGCAGCTCAGCACAGCCAGGAACACTCTGGGTTACACCCTGGGTTGCACTCCGTGTTACAGCCTGTGTTACACTCTGGGTCGCACTCTGTGTTACAGCCTGTGTTACACTCTGCGTTGCACTCTGCGTTACAGCCTGTGTTACACCCTGGGTTACGCTCTGTGCTGCAGCAGCCTTGACTGGTACACTTGCCACATCCAGCACAAGAGGCCTCTCGTGAGTAGGCACCTGCTGCACAGCAGTGCTCTCTGTTGATAGTTTTTCAGTCGACTCAACAGCTGCCGTGTCCTGTAGAGCAGTCTTGAGTGCTGGGATCTGCATTACTATGCCATTCGTTATAGGCACGTCTGCTGATGCCGCTGGTGCACTCACTGCAGCTGCTGCTGCGACATCAACAAGAAGAGGAGTGGCAGCAGGAGCGGAAGCAGGAGCAGTTGCTAACAAATCCTCGCGTGCACTGTTTTCGTCAGCTGCTGCTGCTGCCCCCTCCTCCTCATGTGGCCCCTCTCCCTTTTTCTCCTCTTCCCCCATTGCCCCTATTTCCATCCCCTCGTCCCCCTTCTCTTCTTCCTCCCTCGCCTCTCTTCCTGGCTCCTCTTCCCCCGCCTTCTCTCTTCGTGTCACGTCGTCCCCCTTCTCACCGCTTCCTGACTCCGCTTCCTTCATCTCCTCATCCCCATCATCCATTTCACCCGTCAGTTTTCTCCCCTTCTCCTCTGCCCCCTTATCTTCTCCCCTCTTTTCCTCTCCCCCCTTATCCTCTCCCCCCTTATCCTCTCCCCCCTTATCCTCTCCCCCCTTCTCCTCTCCAACCTTCTCTCCCCCCTTCTCCTCTCCCCCCTTCTCCTCTCCCCCCTTCTCCTCTCCCCCCTTCTCCTCTCCCCCCTTCTCCTCTCCCCCCTTCTCCTCTCCCCCCTTATCCTCTCCAACCTTCTCCTCTTCCCCCTTCTCCTCTTCCCCCTTCTCCTCTCCCCCCTTCTCCTCTCCCCCCTTCTCCTCTCCCCCCTTCTCCTCTCCTCCCTTCTCCTCTCCCCCCTTCTCCTCTCCCCCCTTCTCCTCCCCCCCCCTTCTCCTCTCCCCCCTTCTCCTCTCCCCCCTTCTCCTCTCCCCCCTTCTCCTCTCCGCCCTTCTCCTCTCCCCCCTTCTCCCCTTTCAACTTCTTCCCTCCACCCTCATCCTCTTTCCCCATCTCCTCATCCCCCTTCTTTTCATCCCCTTTCTCCCCATCCGCCATCTCATCCCCCCCTTTCTCTTCTTGATCTTTCCCTCCCCCTCCTCTCTGCTCCTCCTCGCCTCTTTCTCCCCCCACTCCTCCCTGATCCACTCCACACCCACTCGAAGGAGAAAAATCTCCTCTATCTCCCCCCTTAATGTCACCACTGCCTGTTGCCGCCTCTCCGGCCACTTTTTCAATTCCCCCCAAACCAGCACCTTCCCCATCCCCTTCCCCTTCCGCAAACGCGCCTTCCCCTTGTCCCTCCACCAACGCGCCTTGCCCTTGCCCCTCCGCCAAAACGTCTTCCGCCCCTACTGCCACCACTTCCCCCTCCCGCTGCATTGGGGGAGATCCGCCCACTCCCACGCCCTTCCCCTCACTTGCTTCCGCCCCTCCCCCACCCTCCCCGGCGTCTCCTTCCCCCACTGTTTCGGCGATTCCCCCTTCTCCCGCCAATTCCGCTCCCCTTCCGGCATCTGAACCCAACCCACCACCCGCAACACCAGTTCCGCCTTCCGACGGACCTTCCGCCAGGCCTTCCGCCAGGACTTCCGCGGGCCCATCCGCAGGCTCCGCGGAACCTGCCGCGGAGCCCTCCGCCGGATCCATTGCGCCTGGCCCTCCCTTTACGTCGCTTTCCTTACAAGACTCGCGCGAGTGATTTCAAAGTCTCTCAAACGTCTCGACCCATAAATCACTCTCCTCAGTCTCGAATGCTCAGGTCGACGGGCCGTGGGGACCTTGAGGACAATAAGAACCAACTGTAGAACAAAACGTCTTTTATTTCCGCCTTTAAGAGATTAATATTTTGAGGCGCCTCAAAAGGACAATAAGAACCGAATGTGAAACAAACGTCTTTTATTCCCGCCTTTAAGAGATTAAGGATCCGCTCGGTTGATTCCCGTGGTGGAACGCGAACGCCTCTGCTAAGGGGGAATATGCTGACAACGATCGGTGAAAACAGAATTCAGAAACTAAACAGAAGTTCCTGAAAATCTTCAAAACACCCCGCGCAAGTCGAGACTAGTGGCTCAAGCTCGTGCCCCTATCCGAACCGAGGTCGTCAGGTGGAAGGTTAACACAAGCGGGAGTTTGCAGCGGCCAATCGTCGCTGATCCACCATAGACAAGAGGCAACGCAGAACTACCGAAGTGCTTTTGCCTACAAGCGTGTTTGTGGTTCGATAAAAACCAATAGCGTGACCTTGGGATTAGGTCAAAAGTGCTTTTGGCTTCAAATTCAAACAGACGTATCAGCCAGAGGTGAAGGGTCAGCTAGTGGTAACCTATGCGAAGACTGCGTTTCGCATCGCAACCAACCACATTGAAATTTCGATTCGCGAAAAGGAACGGCAGCATCCTCGTAAGTACATCAATACAATACCCGTGTCATTTCGATAATGAGACAACGCAATTCCCGAATGATGGATCTTTACATCACATTCAAAAATACATTGTTCTGTCAGTCATTATGAGAGCAACGCAATTCGGACACTGGTTGAATGATGCATGGATGGCACGGTTTACGAAATGGAAGCTCCTTGGAAGCGATGTATGCAAGAAATCCCTCGCCATTTGAATGCTGCAATCGATGGTGCGACAGATGGTGTTGAGAGTGATGTGGGCAGGTTGTTGGTGCTCGTGGCCCCTTTGGGCTTGCTGGGTTGAGAATACTCCAATGAGGCTGATAGCTGATCCAAGTTTCGCAAGGCAGCATAATCCCGAACCTGCAGGCCAGGAAGACAAGGGAGACAAATGCATGCTCAGGCTTAAAAAAAAACAATGGGGAAAACTAATAAAAAACAGGAATAAAACAAAAACAAAACAAAACACATTCGAAGCCATACAAGTCGGCCTACACATGCACGCGCCTCCTGACTCACTTCAAAAGTCGACTTGAATCTCCCCTTCCCCGGCATCACAGCCCTACACTGCTGCCTTCCCTGCCCCTTCCTCCCCTCCCTCCTTTCCCACCACCACCACCACAACCTCCTCACTCCCCCCCTCCCCATCCTCCACCGAATCCTCCACCTTCCTCCCTTGCAAACCCTCCTTCTCCACTCCTCCCTCCTTTACCTCTCCTTCCTTCACCCCGCCTTCCCCTGCTGCCTCCACCACAGCAGCAGCCTCTTGCACCAACGCCACCTCCCCAGCAGCAGCACTCGCTTCAGCAGCAGCCGCCGCAGCTTCAGCCTTCATCCCCGCTTCAGCCTGCAACACCACCCCATAGTACCCCTCATTCCCCTCCATGCAAGTCTTAAGCGCCTCAGTGGCCCCCACACACCGGTCCACTATGCTCTCCCCTGCCTTTTCTGCTGCCTCCACACACCCCTCCCATGCGATAAACTCCTCCCTGCACGGGCCTCCCTTCATGAACTGGCAGAACGGGCAGTCATCTGTACTGTCCTCTTCCTCTCCTGCCTTCTCCTTCCCCTCACCTCCTCCCTCTTTCACCTCTTCTGCCAAAGTCTCCCCCAACGCACTAACCGCTTCACCCACCTCTCTCCCTGCTTCCTCCACGCTCTCCCCTGCCTTTGCCACCTCACTCACCACCGCAGCCACCACTGCTTCCGCCTTCTCCTCCGCTTCTCTCGTCAACTCCGCTCCCTTCGCCTCTAGTTCTTCCACATACCTCGACAGAACATCCACAGCATCAGCAAGAGGAGGTCTCTCGAGAATTTCCTCCGCTTTCTTTTCTACCTCTGCGTTCACATCCTCTGTTTTCTTCTCTGCCTTTGCTCCTAGTTCAGCAACCACGCCTGCTACAGCATCCACAGCGTCGGCTAGAGGGGGGCTTTTGAGAATCTCCTCTGCTTTCTCTTCTGCCTTTGCCTCTAACTCAGCCACATAGCCTGCGAGAGCATCAACAGCGTCAGCTAGAGGGGAGCTCTTATCCTCCGTTTCACCTTCTCCCCCGTCCACTACCACTGTTACGATTATTTCCTCCGGGCCTGCGTCTGCCGAGCCTGCGGCCGCCGAGCCTGGAGACGATTCAGCTTCGGCAGGTTCAGGTGCGGCGGCATCACTTGCTGGTGTGGTGACTGGTTCGGAAGAAGCCGAATCTGTGGGGGCGGCTACCGGTGATGCTGATGCTTGTGGTGCTTGTGGTGCATCTGATGGTGGTGGTGCTGATGATGGTGCCGGGTGGTGGGACTTCGCTGCTGCGGAGGAACGGCGGTCTGATGGAGGGTCAAAGAAGGAGAAAGAGAGCAACACAGGGAGTAAAAAACACTGACCGACTCACCGAATGAAAGACTCACTGACAGGCTGGCTGAAGACTGGCTGAGGGACTAACGGACTGACTGGCTAACCTATCTGGTGACTGACGAACTGACGGACTGACTGACTGACGATTGTTGGTTAACAGCAGCCAACGGCACAGTGGCCCATTGTTTACTAGAAGAAAAGAGCCGTCGTACCTGAGAGAATGCGCTCCCCAACGAGCCCAGCCAACGCGAGACCGGCGGTCAGCAGCACGAAATCTCGGCCGTCCGTCGTTCCGAACCTCTTCTGAAGCGACTCGACAAACGAGGGGATCTCCGCTCCCGCCTTAGCTGCCACCTTGGACGATCCTGACGCAACACCTGAGGAAACTCCTGAAGCTCCTGTTGCTGCAGAGCACACGGTAGTCGTCGACGCGAATCTGGCATTCTGGCAGCTGATTGGCGCATCGCGAACGGGACGCGAAAGAGACTCGACGGTTCGAGTGGCTGCAGCGTCCAGTCTGGCCCGGATCTCGCTTCTTCTCCGGATGTGCCGCGCAGAGGCGGAGGAGAGGAAGCGGAACATCGGGGGAGAGCGTGTAAGGCGGAGAGTTTGTGGAGTGGAGAGTGTGTGGAGTGGAGAGTGTGTGGACAGGAGAATCCGAGAGGTCCAAATGTGCGAACAGGATAGGTAACCCTGTGCGATCGCTTACTTCGCCGGAGAAAAGGGTCGAACGTCCTGGATTCGCAGAAGGAAGATGGATCAGGAAAGGGCGATCGAGGGTGGAGCTGCAGCTGAAGCAAGATCGGTGTTTCGTGCTGAGCTTGCCTGAGGCAGGTGGGAATGCACATGGGGGGATAAGGGAGAAGAAAAACGTTGGTGAGATGACCGCACTTACAACGAAGCTGCGAGCTTTAAGCAAGCTGGATAGCGAATGAAGGTGCAGGTAGGAAGACTGTGATCTAACGGTTCATAAATCAGGCAAGCGATACGAGCCCACTAGGATCAGGGACACCCCTGGATCGTTAGCTGAGTCGATCGGATACCCGTCGACAGGAGTGGCACGGATGAGGTTGAATAAACTAGTTAATATGCGATTACGGGCCGCCAGTACAACTAGGATTGAGTCAACTCAGATATATACGGATCCGACAATGCAATAAGTTACTGCGTAGGTTGGATCGCATCGTCCGCGTCTCGGATCCTGAAATGGCCTCTAAGTCGACAATAAGGAGGCGAAACAAGATCGCATGGAGATTACCGGAGAGGTGACGAAGGGTTTGTATGGCTGAAAGGCAGGATCGGATACAAAGAATAGTTTCAGGAACAGACGGATGAAAAGCGATCTGTAAGAAGCGTTAAACACGCTCTTTCTCACCTTGAAAACGCGGAAGGCGCCTACACGGAAATCGACTCGGATCTGCCTCCACGAGAAAGCGGCTCGAACAAACAGCCTAGTAGAAAGCTGGTCGCACGAGTTTGAGAAGCAACACCCGCAAAACTCACACCCTACGCCCTCTCTCAAGAACCTACTGGAAGAGCTACGCGCACTTCAAAGCTAGAATAGCTACTTAGCTTCTAGCTTAGTGGTGGTGGGGTGGGGTGGTCTAAAATCCATGGCTGTGACAAACCATTGCCTGGCATGGAGCGATGGTTGTTCCGTCAAGCATGGAATATCATTTCCTAGTTACCTGGGATCCCCTAACGCTTAGAGCAATTATGGGCATACAAGTCAACTAAGAACGTAGAAATTATCCCAGAAGAAAAGGGTGAGGTGCTGAATGCAATCAGATGAGTCGGAAAACCCCAACCCTGAAGGAACGGAAAGTTTTTAAACATTCTGTGGGGCGCGGTCGAAAATACATCTTGAACTTCCGGTGTTCCAAAGATCTCGGGAGGGAAAATATGTCACAAGTAACCAGCATGGGACTCGATGACGTGAATGGTAAAAAAGTAACGCGTACGGTCAGTGTATCGGGTTTGCTGACGGGTTTGGTAACTGGGGTCACGGATTCAATCACTAACAACAGGTTAGAAATCACGCGAATGGTCACACATGGAACTCCCGCCAAAACTTCTTGAAACTCTACAAAATTCCCGCTCGCGCCCAACCAATCAGCTAACTTATAAAAAAATCTAAAACCCAATCGGAATCGGATACGGTTTGGGAACGGATCAGCCCTAAACACCTGGCGAATTGTGTTCAGGGCTGATTCATCCGAAAATGCATCCAGGTTCGTTTTGGGTATTACCTTTTTTCGGCGAGAGTTTCGTCTGTGACCATTCGCGTTATTTTTTTTCCCAGTTGATTGTGACTGATTCCGTGAAACGTTTTCTCAAACATGTGAAAACACCCTTTGCAGTGACCGTACCCGTCGTTTCTTTACCAAACATATTATCGAGACCCTTCTTGATTACTAGTCGCATATATTCCCATTTCGGGAGACTGGCGATTCGTCTACTGTAGTTTCCCAGGCTGTACATTCCTTAAGGTATTAGTATAACAGTTAAAAACAAATTGTTTTCTCATCTATGAGAGAGAACCCCATCTTTTCTCTCACACCAAGATCTCCATTGAACAGCCCTCAAAATTAGCTAGGCGGGAAACTATAAACGTGTGGCCCTTTATTCTGCAAGAGAGACTTGCTATAGTCTCTGTGCACCACTATTCATAAGCCATAACAACCATAAGGCTGGATCCCATGTGGTACACCCAGTCTCCATTATTACAACACACCTCCAAGCAGACGGACTGCTAACTCTCATAATACATCCCCTTTTGTAGCCTTCTCCTTAACCAGCAGGAGCACCGCCGCACACATTCTTCCCGGCCGCTGCCTTTTGAGCGATTGGCTTCAGCCGCACCATGATATCATCAAACTTGGGGCGGTCCTTGGGGTCACTGGGAAGCAAAAAGAGAGTGGAGAGGGGAGAGGCAGTGGCATGGGGCTGAGTCAGCTGGAATGAGCAATTGGCTTCAGCCGCACCGTGAAGTCGTCAAGCTTGGGACGCTCCTTGGGGTCACTGGGAGACAAGAAAAGGGAGACACGGGGTGTGTGCAGAGGGTGTGGGCAGAGGGCGGGGGAAGGCGGTGTGGCTTTCTAGTATAGTCGACCCAAGCCCGCCACAGAGCAACCACGATATCGTCAAACTTGGGGTGGTCTCTGGGGTGACTGGGAAGCACAAGGGAGAGATATGGGGTGTGGGCAGAGGACGAAACATGGGGTGATTTCTGAGTCTGCTCAGTCTTTCTTCAGCAAATCAGCCGCAGCATGATATCATCAAACTTGGGGCGGTCCCGGGTGTGACTGGGAGGCACACTGCGGGTGGAGGGTGGAGACATGGGAGTGGAGAGGGAGTACATGAGATGTGGGCAGCGGGAGTGACATGGGTTGTGGACAGAGGTGTGACATGGGTTGTGGGAAGAGGAACTTACTTGTGCCAGCAGTCGAGGATGAGTGTGGAGAGAGCCGGGTCGAGGTCAGGAGGGACGGTGAGGCGTTGGTTCTGGAATCCCACTGCTCCCACCACCTAGAATACGAGAGATACGGGAAGATGGGGGAGGTGGAAGTGAGGGGGGAGAGAGGAGAGTTGGCGCAGAACGGAAGACACTAGTCAACCTAGAGAGTCTGGGTTGGAGGTCAGGAGGGACGGTGAGGCGTTGGTTCTGGAACCCCACTGCTCCCAGCACCTGGGGTAGAGGAGAGAGAGAGGAGGGAAATGGAGGGAGAGGAGTCAGAGCGGGTAGTGGGGAAGGTTGGAGCAGAATGGACGACCTGCATGCCTGCATGGGGTTCTCGCATCGCATCACATCGCACCGCATCGCATCGCACCGCATCGCATCGCACCGCACCGCACCGCATCGCATCACATCACATCACATCACATCACAGACATACCTGCATAGGGTTCGAAGTTTGAACATATAGGCATGGGGTTCATATGACACTTTTAAACAAACAGGCATGGCGTTCACACGTACCTGCATGGGGTTCATGCCGTCCCATGGCTGCAGCAGCGTGACCAACTCCCACAGGATCACTCCAAAGCTGTACACATCCGACTTCTCATTGGACGGCTCGTTTCGCAACACCTCAGGCGCCATCCACTCGGGCTGAGGAGGGGAGGAGGGGGGCACACACGGGGAGGGGCATTGACAGAACGAGTGACTCAGTGCGGGAAAAATAAGAGGCTTTCACAGAGTAAACGATGCCTGAGGCGGGCATTAACAGTGGAGGCTCGTTGTGGTGCAACACCTGAGGCGCCATCCACGCAGGCTGAGGAGGAGAGGAGGGGTTGGGCAGGTATGGACGGGGGAAGGAGATCACAGATACAATGACTTTAAAGCCCTGCATGTTTGACTTCTCATTCACACGTCTACATGCTTGAGACGCATGCATGTGCAAGGGTAACATGCATGCACATGCACGGATAGCAAGCATACATCTGTGCACGTCTGGATGCATAACATACCGTGCTTGCACATGGTTTTATTCACGCCTCACCATGCCTGCAAGCCTGATTTGGAGGAAAGGAAGGTGAGGCGTTCCACGTGGTCTTGTTGCGCAACATACCCAAATGGCTTATTGTTCTGAATAGGCCTCACACCTCCACGATATGCATGGCTCACCGCACCTGGTCTTGTTGCGCAACATACCCAAATGGCTCACCGCACCTGCACACTTTTGAGACGTCTCCAAAGAGACACACGTCTCCAAAGAGACACACGTCTCCAAAGAGACACACGCTATGATCGCCTCGCATCACATGACACATACCGTTCCGGCGCCCGATTTGGAGGAGAGGAAGGTGCTGTTCTTATTGCGAGATAGACCAAAGTCGCAGACCTGCCAGGGAGCAAAGCGGCCACACATGTCCAGAGAAGAGTTGTCATGTTATTGACAGTCTGTGAGTGTCTCCAAAGGGTTTTGAAACGACTTCAAAGTTTCAGACCTGCCAGGGAGCGAAACAACTACACACGTGCAGACAAGATGCTTCCACTTATAAATCACAAGGCAGAACTAAAAAAAACTGAAAGCCGAGAAGTTCAAATAACATTTTCATTTTTCATTGCTTTGTTAAAAAAAAAAAAATCTATTGTTTCATTTTGTTTCCAAATAACATGCATGCCCCTTTACCTTGACTGTGAAATTTTTGTCCACGAGTAGGTTGGGAGTCTTGAGATCACGATGCACAATCATGGGCGTGCAATGGTGCAGATAGTTGATGCCTCGCGCCTGGCAGGGTGTGGCATGGGAGGGAGGGAGAAGGCGGGTTGTGGGGGGGGAAGTTGGGGGGAGGGAGGAGAGAGAGGGGGGGAAGTGGGGGTGTGGGAAGGGGTGGGAAGGGGTGGGAAGGGGTGGGAAGGGGTGGGAAGGGGTGGGAAGGGGTGGGAAGGGGTGGGAAGGGGTGGGAAGGGGTGGGAAGGGCCGAGGGGAGGGTCAATCAGAGAGAAGAGGAGGCAGGGAGGGGCTTCTGAGTCAAAACAACAGGCATGGAAGATGATGGTTGGGTTGACTCAAGATCAAAACAACAGGCATGAAAGATGAATGGTTGGGTTGACTCAAGATCAAAACAACAGGCATGGAAGATGATGGTTGGGTTGACTCAAGATCAAAACAACAGGCATGGAAGATGATGGTTGGGTTGACTCAAAATCTGATCGTGCATGATGTGCATGAATGGGGATTGTGCATGCTTGTTGTGAAGTGGTGCATCTCCCCACCCTTCCCCACCCCTTCCTTGATCGGACTGTGCCACAGTCCACTAAGGTTTAACCCATGCCAACCGCCCATGCCATCCGCCCATGCACTCTCTTCCCATTCACCTCCCATGTCCCCTCGGCCAATCCCTCCCCCCACTACCCACCCACAACCCATGGTCATCATGGGGATGCGTCGATTCTCCTAAAGCACCTCCTTTGCCCCAACAACTCAACGTGTGCGGCGGTCTATGGCAGGCTTAACACGCTGAGGCTCCTTGAGTGTCCACGTGTGTGCAAAGGGATGTGGTGTGCCTGGCATGGCTGCTTACCCCCTTTCGCACACCACATCCCTTACCCCTGGCATCCCTCCCCCACTTCACCCCAAGTGTCCACGGTCATGGGGATGCGACGATCCTCCTAGAGCGTCTCTATTGCCCCCGTTCCCCCTTCCCAATGCACCACCCACAGAGCAACCCCAATCGCTCGTGATCCCCCCACACTCTCCCTCCCCCTTCTCTCCTCCCGCTTTCTCTCTCTTCCCCCCCACCCACAATATCCATGGCCATGCAAATGCGCCGGCCCTCCTTTAGCGTCTCCTTTGCCCTCGTCTCATCTTCTCCCCCCCACCCCCCCCCCCCAATGTACCCACAGAGAAATCCCAGTCGCCCATGAACCCCCAAAACCCCACCGTTCCACACTCTCCTCCCCTCCCCTCCCCCCCCTTGACACACAATACCCATGGCCACGCGAATGCGTCGGTCCTCCTTTAAGCTCTCCTTCAGCCCACCGCACCAACCCAATGCACCCAGGGAACCAACCCAATGCACCCAGGGAACCAACCCAATGCACCCAGGGAACCAACCCAATGCACCCAGGGAACCAACCCAATGCACCCAGGGAACCAACCCAATGCACCCAGGGAACCAACCCAATGCACCCAGGGAACCAACCCAATGCACCCAGGGAACCAACCCAATGCACCCAGGGAACCAACCCAATGCACCCAGGGAACCAACCCAATGCACCCAGGGAACCAACCCAATGCACCCAGGGAACCAACCCAGCCCGCCTATGAAACCCCTCCCCCCCCTCCCTTTTCCCCACTCCCTCCCCCCTCCCCCTTCCCCCGAACCCACAATATCCATGGCCATGCGAATACGTCGGTCCTCCTTCAAAGTTTCCTTAGCCCCTGGCCGATGCAGCAGACGAAACAGACTTCCCCTGCAGTGGGGAGAGGCGGAGGGAGAGGGGAGGGGAGGGAGGAGGGAGGAGGGAGGAGGGAGGAGGGAGGAGGGAGGAGAGGGAGGAGAGGGGGCAAGGGAGGAGAGGGAGGGAGGTGGCGAGGGAGGAAAGGGTATTTGAGAAAAATGGACGGACGGGTATATTGGAGATGCAAGGAAGGAAGAGTATATCTGAGAATATTTCAGTAGAATCAAGAGCCGCCGAGGAAATCTGTGAGCATGGAGAGGCTTGGTGACTCTTTTAATCGACTCTAAAGCAGGTAAACGCCTGACAGGCACCACCCATCCTATGGTCGGGGAGCCTATTTTTTTAGCCTGTTTTTTCCTACTTGCTTAAGCCTAAACCTAGGCACTGCTGCTCACTGGAATTATGTCAGAGGATCTCTAAAGCAGGTAAACCCCTGACAGGCTCCACCCATCCTATGGTTGGGGAGAAAGATTCTCACCTGCTAAGGAACTCTGTGAGGATGGAGAGGTGGGGCGGCTTGGTAACCGCTCCCATGAAGAGCACTATGTTGGGATGGCGCAGACGACGCATGATGACCACCTGCGAGAGAAGGGGGGCACGGGGGAAAGGAAATGTCAACCAATTCAGAGGGGAAGGTAAACAAAGTGAGAGGGCTTGGTGAGTGTTGCTCCCATGAAGAGCGCTATGTTGGGATGGCGCAGACGACGCATGATGACTCCCTAGAGGGAGGGGGAAGGAGAGGCGGGAGAGAGAAGTGACAAGAGAGGAGAGAAGAGGAACCTCCTGAACGTTATAGATCGGAACAGCCAGAGGGTGTTTGAAGTTGACTCAAAACACGTTATTGATCGGAATGCAAGAATAGCCAGAGGGTGTTTGAAGTGTAGTTTTGAGACATCTCAAAACAAATAGCCAGAGGGTTCAGTAAACAATGTTGGGCTCGGACCAAGCAGCAGCCGCCGCTACTGCATCTCTCCTGCGTCGACTCGACTCAAGACTCGAAGGCCATAGCATGCCTCATTATAGTCAGGAGCACACATCTCGTTGATTACAGACACGTATATACCTCTCATTCGAACGCATACCGCTAGTTTCTCTCGCATCAAAGCTCAGATTTGATGTACCTCTTGCATTTCTTGATCATTCGTACCTCTTGTTTGAACTCCAGCAGCTGCTCCTACTGCATGTTCTGGTTGATCAACACCTTTGATATAAGCATGCATCTCATTATAAGCATGCACCTCGTTGTAAGCATGTACCTCATTATAAGCATGCACCTTGATATAAGCATGTGACGCAGTCACCCAGTGGCGTACCTCTCGTTTGAACTCAAGCAACTGCTCCTCCTGCATGTCCTGGTTGATAAGCACCTTCACTGCCACATCCTGTGTGCGTGGAGGAGCCGAGAGATGAGAAAAAAGTGGTGCGCAGTGCAATGTGAGGAAGGACGCGCATATCACGGCGGGTTTGCGCTAAGAAGCAGAAATAAGACCGCTGGGGATGAGAATCCACGCAGCGGAAAAGTGAATGCCAACGAGAAGAGGAAATGATGAGGCTGTTTTTGAGTCGACTCAAAACCTGTTTTTGAGTCTGTTTTTGAGTCGGCTCAAAAACAGCCTGTTTTTGAGTCGACTCAAAAACAGAATCCACGCAGTGGTAAAGTGAATGCCAACGAGAAGAGGAAATGATGAGGCGAAAACGAGGAAGAGAGGAGGGTGGGAGCAGGTGAGGAGACAAGGAGGCGAGGAGGCGATAGGGGGAAGAAGGGAGGAGGGGAGGAGGAGCAGGAGACTCACACAGCCAGCCCACTCGGCGCGGTACACCGTACCGAAGGAACCTGGCAAGACACAGGGGCACGAAAAAATGGACGCGAGGGGGGTGGGGAGGGGGTGAAAGGGGAAGGGGTTCAGTAGTGTGCGGCCTGAAGAGTGACTAGGAAGGGTGGCTAGGAAAGGTGGCTCTGAAGAGTGATTGAAGTGCTTTGAGAAGCTCAAGGCCTGTAATGTGGTTTACCTGCACCGCATCTGACTAGCACAGACCTCACCTGCGCCCACCCTCTCCCCCATCTCGATGTCGTTCCAGTCAATCTCCGCCTCGCCAATGTCCATGATGCGCCCATCCATCAGCACATCCAATCAGACACCTCTCAACCGCACTGCACCGCACACCACCTCCCTCAACCCCCTCTCACCTGCGCCCACCCTCTCCCCCATCTCGATGTCGTTCCAGTCAATCTCCGCCTCGCCAATGTCCATGATGCGCCCATCCATCAGCACATCCATAAATTCCACTCCTGCATCCGCCGCCTCGTCGTCTGCTGGGGGTGCCGCCTCCTGCTTCGGTGCTTTCGCCTGTTGGTGGGGTAAGGGAGGGAGAGGAAGGGAGAGGGGTGTGGAAGGGTCGTCCATCCATCACCACGTCCATCAACTCAACCCCTGCATTGGTTGCCTCGTCTTCTGCTGCTGCCTCCTGCTTTGGCGCCTCAGCCTTGGCTTTGGGCTGAGGGAGAGGTGAAGAGGGGGAGGGTGGGTGGGGGGTGAGGCAGGAAGGGAGGAGGGGAAGAAGGGAGGCAAGCAGAACGCAAGGGGTCAAGGGCTCAGCCCGAGTTGTCCATGAGCTGCCCGAGTTGTCAGATCCCAACCCCCGATGTCCATGAGCCCAGCCATCCATGATGCGTCTGTGAACCCCATGAACCGCATAAACCGCATGAACCCCATGAACCGCATGAACTGCATGAACCGCATGAACTGCATGAACCGCATGAACCGCATGAACCCCATAAACCCCATGAACCGCATGAACCGCATGAACCGCATGAACCCCATGAACCCCATGAACCGCATGAACCGCATGAACCGCATGAACCCCATGAACCCCATGAACCCCATGAACCGCATGAACCGCATGAACCGCATGAACCCCATGAACCCCATGAACCCCATGAACCGCATGAACTGCATGAACCCCATGAACCCCATGAACCCCATGAACCCTATGAACCGCATGAACTGCATGAACCCCATGAACCCCATGAACCCCATGAACCGCATGAACTGCATGAACCCCATGAACCCACCCATGCAGGCAGCATTCACTCCTCCTGCTTCTCCTCTTCCTCCGCTTCCCCTCCCTCTCCGCACCGCCTGAGCTTCCCTCTCTTCCTCGTCCTCTCCTCTCCACCCTAGAAAACAAACCCACTCCCCTTCTTCTTCCCCTCCTCCTCCCTGCTGCCCTTCTTCTGAGGTTTCTTATCCTCCTGGTCGCTATCCTCCTCCTCCACATGTACGCACCCCCATCCTCTTACCTATCTTACTCCAGGCAACCCAAAACAACCCACTCACCTTCTTCTTCCCCTCGTCCTCCTCCCCGCCGCCCTTCTTCCCGGCCTTCTTCTGCGGCTTCTTCTCCTCCTCCTCCTCCTCGCTGTCCTCCTCCTCCTCCACCTCTTTGAGCTCCTTCCGCCGCCTCTCCCCCTTGGGCGATGCAGCCACGTGCCGCGGGTCCTTGGGCCCTCCCGCGTAAATTCGCCTTGATCCCACCATCGCCTCCGCATCCTGCTCCTGCTGCTGCCTGGTGATTGGGAAACAAGGGGGAGAGACATGGGGATAATGGGTGAAAGAGAGGAGGAGGGATAAGGGTCCTTGGGCCCTCCCACGTAGATGTGCCTCGATCCCACCATCGCCTCTGCATCCTGCTCCTGCTGCTGCCTCCTCATTGGGGCAGGGTGAGTGAGGTGAGGAAGGCGGGAGAGGGATGGAAAGGGCCAGCAGTGGAAAGAGGAGATCAATGGAACGGGTCGAGGAGATTACGAGGCAGCAAGGCCTGCAGCAAGGCCTGCGAGCGCGAGAGATATGTTGAGCCTAGCGCGTACGTCCCCTTTATCAGAAGGAGCAAAAGCCTTCCCCAGGTCTCACCTTCTAAAGTCCGGCACCCATTGCGGCACCGTGCCGTCCGCAGGGTCCGTGAGCGCGAGAGATTTGATCTCCGGGCAGCGCAGGGGCGAGGCGATGTAAGTGGCGTTGGTGGCGGTGCTGGTGGCTGACTCTGCCGAGGGCTCGATGGTGAGGAGAGTGCCTGGCCTCTGCAGCAGATCCACGACATATTCCCTGTGTGTGTGTTGGGGAGAGGAGAAAGAATGGGGGGGATCATAAGCAGGTGGCGTTGGTGGCGGTGCTGGTGGCAGACTCTGCCGAGGGCTCGATGGTGAGGAGAGTGCCTGGGCGCTGCAGCAGATCCACCACGTACTCTCTGTGTGTGGCGGGAGGAAGAGAGGAGGGAGGGAGTGAGTGAGCAACGGGAAGGGAAAATGCTGCTGCTGGTGGCTGACTCGGCCGAGGGCTCGATTGTGAGCAGCGTGCCTGGGTGCTGCAGCAAGTCGACCACATACTCCCTGAGTGGAAGGGGGGGAAGATGGATGGGGGGAGGACGGTGGAGGGGAGGGGAAAGGGCAGGAGGGGAAAGGAGGAGGATGCCCATTTCACCTAGAGTGAATGTTGTGTGAGTCAACTCAGAACCCGCCCCGTACCCCAGGTGAGCACAAATAAGAATGCCCCATCGTCACCACTTTTGAATGCGCAATGGCATGCCCATCCCATTACCCCAGCACCAGCGCCATTGTGCATTCAAAAGGGCGTGAGATGCTGTGTGAGTCAATTTTTTAGGCGCCTAAAAAATCAACTCTTTTGATTGCAATGGCAATCCCATTACCCCAGCGCCGACACCATTGTGCATTCAAAAGGGCGTGAGATGCTGTGTGAGCCAACTCAAAATCACTCAGCACTCACCTCTCATCACTGGCGAGCACAAGGCACGAGGCTCTGTCGTCCATGCCACAATTCCCCAGCACCTACAGGTACCGCAGTGCACCTGGCCAGACTCCACTGGCTCACCTCTCATCACTGGCAAGCACAAGGCACGAGGCCCCATCGTCCATCCCACAGAACTTGCATCCCTTCTGGATACGACACACTCACACGGGGCATGGCCATTTCCCCAACCCAGGTCGAGATGCCTATTTGCTCACCTCTCGTCACTGGCAAGCACAAGGCACGAGGCCCCATCGTCCATCCCACAGAACTTGCATCCCTTCTGGATACGACATGGCATGCCCAGCGCGTCCGCCAACACCTGGTCATGGGGGAGCGGCGGGGGAGGGAGGAGGGTTTGTGGGGGTGAGGTGAGGGGAAGTCGGGAAAATAACATGTGCGCCATCGTCCATGGCACAGAACTTGCACCCGCCATCGTCCATGCCGTAGAACTTGCACCTCTTCTGGATACGACATGGCATGCCCAGTGCGTCTGCCAGCACCTGGTAATTGGGGAGCGGACGGGGGAGGGAAGGCGGGAAGGTTGGGGTAAAAGTAGGGGAAGAGAAATAGAACGAAGGGGACGAAGAACGAATGGGGACAGGAGAAAAGAATGTGTGCTATGAAACAGAGGATGCACCCCCACTGAATTCGACAGGCCTGCCTACATTCCTTGTGCCTCTACTCCACTCCATTCTCTCACCGCTCTGCACTCCTCCTCACCGCACTGCACGCACCTTGAAGAGCAGGGCGCGGTGGCGGCAGATCCCCACGGGCAGCTGGCCGATGGGCAGCACGATGGTCTTGAGGTAGCTCTTGATCTCCCACCCCCGCTGCCTGAACCGCGGGATCAACTCGTTGGGCTCTGAGTTCACCGCGCCTCTGGAGTGGGTGGGATTTGTGGGAATGGACGGGGACAGGAGTGGAGAGAAAAGGAGAGGGGATTGAGTCAGTCAGCTAAACGCTCTTTCGCAGTGGCTATTATGGCTTCGGTGTGCTCCTTGGCAGCTGGCTGGCTGGCCGATGGGCAGCACAATGGTCTTGAGGTAGCTCTTGATCTCCCACCCGCGCTGCCTGAACCGCGGGATCAACTCGTTGGGCTCTGAGTTCACCGCGCCTCTGGAGTACAGGTTACGGACGGGGGAAGGGGGGATGCGGGGAGTTGTGGGGGGGGTTGGGGGAGGATGGATGATTTGGAGTCTTCTCCTGCAGCGTGCTTGCGTGCATACGTGCGTGGTTGCATGGGGTACCAGGCAGACCGCACCGCAGGCGACTCACTCACCCCATGTGATGAGCCACCAACACTCCCAGCTTCTGCGCCAGAGTCTGCACCTCAGTGGCAGCATACGCCTCAGTGGTTCACCGCCTCATCCTCCAGGTCCTTCAATTCAGCATCGATGGTGCGGATGATGAGCGCCACGTCAAACGACGCCCAGAGGAGCTATCAGAGGCAGGCAAGCAGGCACTCACCCCATATGATGCGCCACCAGCACGCCCAGCTTCTGCGCGAGTGTCTGCACCTCGGTGGCAGCATAAGCGAGGTTAACTGCTTCATCCTCCAGGTCCTTCAGCTCCGCATCAATGGTGCGGTTGATCAGCGCCACATCAAACGACGCCTCGCTTGGGTGCAGCGCGCGCAGGGAGTCGAGCGGCGGCATGCGGCCGCGGTGGGAGGAGTCCACGCAGAGCGAGTAGACGTACGGCTGCATGCCCCAAATGTCGTAGAACCCGTCCTCGATACGATCCTCGTAGCTGAGACATCCATTGACCTGTGTATGGGGGAACGGGGGAGGGAGTAGGGGGTCAATCAGCATTTTGCGAGCTGCTTCGGGTTGCACCAATCAAGTAGTGTAAGGAGTGGGGTGCAGCGCGTGCAGGGAGTCGAGGGGAGGCATGCGGCCGTTGTGGAAGGAGTCCATCCAGAGCGAGTAGACGTACGGCTGCATGCCCCAGATGTCGTAGAACCCGTCTTCGATACGATCTTCATAACTCAGGCATCCATTGACCTGCGTGTACGGGGGTGTGTGCGTGTGAAACAAGAGGGGTAAAGAGGGTCAGAGCGAGTAGACGGACGGCTGCATGCCCCAGATGTCGTAAAAGCTGTCCTCTATACGGTCCTCAGAACTCAGACACCCGTTCACCTGTAAGAGTGGGGGCGCGTGTATGTGTGTGAAGCATGGGAAACGGGGGGAAAAGGGCCAGAGCGAGTACATACGGCTGCATGCCCCAGATGTGCAGTCCTTGTAGCTCAGGCATCCCTTCACCTGTGGGGCGTGGGGACGTGCCAGTGCTGCGCGTGCGTGGGAAGGTGGGAAGCTGGGAGAAGAAGAAAGTAGGCCTCGCCTTGGTCTCATCTCATTACCTTCGAAAGCAGGCCTCGCCTTGGTCTCATCTCATTACCTTCGAAAGCAGGCCTCGCCTTGGTCTCATCTCATTACCTTCGAAAGCAGGCCTCGCCTTGGTCTCATCTCATTACCTTCGAAAGCAGGCCTCGCCTTGGTCTCATCTCATTACCTTCGAAAGCAGGCCTGACTGATCCCCTCGTAGCTCAGGCATCCATTACCTCTTCTGATCGAGACAATTATCTTACCCAGAAGCGGTAGGCTGTGGCTTCAGCCTGGCTACGTGGCATGAGCGGACTGGCCCAGAGCATGTCGTTGGGGTTCGCCTGAGGGGGCGCCATCTCCGTCTCCTCCGCCATCTCCGCGTCCTCTATCAGCCGCAGCGCCACCGCCACCTGATATCAGGCGGCAAAGGCATGGAGAAGGAAACTTTGTGGATGTGGTGCAGTCAGGTAAGGTATGGTGATTCATGCATATCGCCCATCCGTCTCCTCTGCCACGACCGCTTCCTCTGGGCTATCAGGCGGGAAAGCGTCACTGCCACATGCTATCAGGCGGTAAAGGCATGGAGATAGCAAAACATGCTCGGGAGAACAGGCTGAAGATAACACAAGGTAGCATGCATGCATACACACCTCTTTAGCGTGTCCGTACGTGCTTGGTACACCACACCTCTGTAACGAGTCCGCACCTGTAAAGAGTACATCTCCTCGGCCTTTTGGAAGTAGCTCCGGTCACTCTGCTTCCTCCGCGCGTGCGCCGCCTGTAGCGCCGCCACCACCGGGCCCCCACCCGCCACGTCATCATTATCCAACGTCAGCATCTCGCTCGCCACGCTCCTTCCCCCGGGGCTCTCCGCGGAGACCGGAAACCCCCCGCCCCCGCGCTCCGCCCCCGCTCCTCCCCCCAGGCGGGGCGCGGGGCTTCCCCCCCACGGCATCACCTGCGCGCTCGGCTCCCCGTCCGAACTGCTTGCGAAGCTCATAGCTCCGCGCGACGGCGGACGGCGGATGGACACGGGCGGAGACGGCCCGTCCCTGGAAAACCCTCCCCCGGGTCCGCCCGGCGTGCCTGCCGCGGCTATAGCCGCAGCGGCAGCGGCGGCGGCGGCTTCCGCCTCCGCGTTCGACACTACCGAGGATAAGCTGGTTCGCTTCTCGGGCCCGGCCATGCGCGACTCGCCGATGCCGCCGCCAAGATTGCTGCTACGGTCGATACCGTTGCGTTCCTCGGGCTTTAACTGGCCCGGACTCGGCTGGCCCGAAAACCGGATAGAGTTAAAAATGGCCAGCCGGTTCGCTTCCGCCGCCGCCTTTGCCGCTGTGACCTCGGGATCCTCCCCCGAAGGTTCCGCGTCTTTCGCGCTCTGCTGCCGCGCGGCGATCATTTCGGATATTGCGCTTCCGCCGCCGCTCCCCCCTTTCTCTGCTTTCCGAGCCGCGATCATGTCCGCAAACGTGCCACGTGGCCCTCCTTTCTCCGGCGTCGGAAGCCGCTTCTCCACGGAGGGAGCTTTACCCGGAAACATCGGCGCGGGAGCGGGAGACGAGTCGACTACTTCCGAACCTCCCGCATTCTCGTTCGGTATCCGGACGTGCAGCGGAGAGGTCCCCCGCGACCGTGGAGCAGGCCGCTCCTTTTCTCGCGCTTTCTCTCGTTCCCGAGCTAGTCTGTTTCGGCTCAGAGACGACGGGCCGTTCTTGGACTTTTCTGCCGGAGGGCTGTCCTGCATTGCGGCTGCTAAGGCCGGGTCTTCGGCCATCATCTCAGCCGCCATGGCTTGGAGCATAGCCAAATCCATGGCTGCCGTTAACTTGATGGGAAACTAAGACTGGTATAAGTAGGTATGATGCTTTCTAGCTTTCCCTGGCCGGATAGCTGGAAGAGGGATGCCAGCTGGATGCACAGATAGAGTCAGTTAGCGTCTGTTAGTGCCGGCTAATGCGAACTGTTGCTTGGCAATGTGAAAAGCAGAAAAGGAGTGGACGCGCTCGAAGGCGACATTACGTGCTAGGACAGTCGCGGCGGAACGTAACTTTTCTACAGCATGCTTGTTGACAAAGAGGGTTTTTTCTGCTGGCGACACGGTCCACTAACGAAGCGAGATACATTGAAGTAACACAACTTCAGACACGAACGCAGCAGTGATAAAAGTATCTTCAGTAATACAAGTTCCGCTTTTAAACGTAAGAAAAACTGTCAGTATTCTCAGTAAGACACCCCAATGCCGTAGGACTAGATCATCAGAGACATGACTGAAGGAAGCCTACTGTCCTAGAAAATGCGTCAAATTAGGTCATGAGATGAGAGTACAGCAGCTTAGTCAGTGCTATGCTCAGCTCACCACTTATGGCGAGAACCAGGTTGGGTTAGGTGAGGCTAGTGACCTTGGGATTGGTTCGGCGAACGTCAGTCTAGCTAGCGATATCAGTTCCGACCTTTGGCGAAGACGGAACTACATGGAACACCAATTTTGGCGAAAGAAGGAGAATGGTAACGTTCTTCATTCAAGCTGTTTCGATATGAACCATCAGCAGCGCCACAGATTGGTGGGCACGGTGCTAATACTCTTATTATTCCAATGAATATAACGCTAATACTTCACGTATCCGAACATCCCAACGCAATTCGGTCGTCGGAGCCAAATTGCCAGTGTCGTCAAGGGGGGTCGTCGGAGCCGGGCCTGACGAGGAGGGCAACTGGCGCGCGTGCGGGCCCGCCAGCCTGGCCTAGGGCTAGGCCGAGCGCACGACCGCCGCCCCGCAACCCCGCTCCGAAAGTGAACAGCGACCCACATTACCAGGTGGGGTCAGCGAACTGGCGACCCCTCGCGCGAGGGAAAGTAACCCTCGCGCGAAGGCAGCCCACCCCTCCCACCTGCCCGCGAGGTCCTAGTAACCCATCGCGACCTGCCCGGACGGGCAGGCGAGGTCCATGCGAAAATTCGGGGCCTCCCTTGGGACACTCGACAATTTCGCGACCCGTTGCGGTGACGCCACATGTTCGCCTGTAGCTTCGCATCCGGCGCATGCGAGATTTCGTACCGGGCGAAATTATAATGCTCGCATCGCGGCGCACGAGTTTCGCGACCCGCTACGAAATCTACACGTGTCGCCCGAAGCGACGCTCCGCGCGCATGCGAATGTGTGTCCCATCGCCGACCTGGGCCAATGGACGCGAAGTCGACGTTCTGCCAAGGCGGAGACGGACCACCTGTGCCACTTGCACATGCGCCCTACGAGCCCTGCCGAGCCAAGCCCCACACCCTTGGGCGATGCTCAACCGGCCTGCGGTGGGGCACCACCTCCTTTTCTTTGTGAAGGTGGCTTCGCTCCTCATTTTCCGCATCTCGATTCTATCTTCAAGCGTTGCTAGCTCTGCGCCCCCCCTTAATCCGTGCTATCGTCCCTTTGTCAAACTATGATAATGCTTGTGCTGTGTAGGCTGTAGTGGGGTAGCCCATAAGGGGTACAACCCAAATTAGGGTTAGCATATGTACCCGCATCTCTGTTCAATGCACTCATTCATGCTGCTAGATTCTAACATGGTTTCAGAGCACAAGGTCCGTAGGACAGTTTTTTTTTTCGGGCCCACCTACCGTTGCGGTTACCATGCTACCCCACGTGCGCTTGCCTGCCTGCCTGCCTCGCCTTGTGACGTGCTGCGATGCGCGCGCCGTCCTCCAGCCCTCGCGCTGCCTACTGCTGCCCTAGGCCAGCGCGCCGTCCCTGCAGGCCCGTACGACCCGCGAGCCGCCCCTGCAAGCCCGTCAGGCCCGCTAGCCGTCCCTGCAGGCCCGTCAGGCCCGCGAGCCACCCCTGCAGGCCCGTCAGGCCTGCTAGCCGCCCCTGCAGGCCCATCAGGCCTGCTAGCCGCCCCTGCTGGCCCGTCAGGCCCGCTAGCCGCCCCTGCAGGCCCGTCAGGCCCGTTAGCCGCCCCTGCAGGCCCGTCAGGCCCGTTAGCCGCCCCTGCAGGCCCGTCAGGCCCGCTAGCCGCCCCTGCAGGCCCGTCAAGCCAACGAGCTGCCCCTGCAGGCCCGTCAGGCCAGGTCGCTGCCCCGCTGCCCGCGCGTCGCACTGCAGCCCCGCGCGTCGCGTCTGCTGCCCGCGCGTCGCGCTGCAGCCCTGCGCGTCGCGCCCACTGCTTGCGCGTCGCGCTGCAGCCCCGCACGTCGCGTTCGCTGCCCGCGCGTCGCGCTGCAGCCCCGCGCGCCGCGCCCGCAGCTCGCGCAGCGCGCTGCAGCCTCGCTCGCCGCGGCTGCCCCTGTTCCTCGCGGCTGCCCCTGGACGCCGCCCCTGGATGACTGCCACCGTCGCTCTTGCGGCAGGTGCCACGAAGCGCCCTACTACAGTCGCGGCCCTGCCCTGCAACAGCTGCCGCGGAGCCTCCTGCCGCCGTCGTGGCCCTGCCCTGCAGCAGCTGTCGCGGAGCCTTCTGCCACAGTCGCGGCCCCACCCTGCAGCAGCTGCCGCGGAGCCTCCTGCCGCGGTCACGGCCCCGCCCTGCAGCAGCTGCCGCAGAGCCTTCTGCCGCTGTTGCGGCCCCGCCCTGCAGCTGTCACGGCCCCGCCCTGCAGCAGCTGTCGTGGAACCTGCCCTACCACCGACGCGGCCCTACTCTACGGCCGCTATTGCGGCCCCGCCGAGCGCCGGCCCTGCCTGCCACTGGTGAGCACCTACCTTGTTCTTGCGATGCCGCCTGCCTGCCTGCCTGCCTCCTGCCTGCCTGCCGGCCTGCCTGCCTGCCGCGCCTGCCCTGCACGCGCTGCTGCTGCTACTACTGCTATTGCTACTACTACTGCTACTGCTGCTACTGACAGTGGCCAGATGCAGCTCCAGCGACGTCCGCGTGAGTCCCTCACGCCCCAGCAGCTTAGTGAGTGGTACGCTAGTTGGGGTTGTAGGGGTGGCCGCGCTGCTACTGCTGCTACTGCTGCAACTGCTGTTACTGCTGCTACTGCTACTTCTACTACTGCTGCTGCTACTGGCGGTGGCCAGATGCAGCTCCAACGACGTCCGTGCGAGTCTCGCATGCCCCAGCAGCTTCGTGAGTGGTACGCTCAGAGTAGATGGTATCTGAGTACCGTTCGCTGCCCGTACGTCATTCGCATTGGTGCTCGGACTGGTCAGGCTTGCGGGACGCTCAGTCACACACAGTCCCGCTGCTTCACCCGTCTGAGCGACGCCTGGCGTACCGAGTTTGGCGACGAGGCTGAGCTCCCTGACTGGGTGGAGGTGCTTGGGCAGAGGGTAGATATATTTGCTCTTGACTATGATGCTATTCTCACTGCCATATATGCATTGCCTACTAGTGCTGACCGTGCCTGTTACCTGTGCGTACCGCCTGACCCAGGTATAGAGCCTGCTGCTCTAGGTGCTGGTGAGGCTGCTGCTCTAGGGGTTAGTGTATCTCCTGCTCTAGGTACTGGTGAGGCTGTTGCTCTAGGTGCTGGTGAGTCTGCTCTCTCTGGTACTGCGCCTGCTGAGGCCTTGTACACCTTCACACTTGACTCTGGTGCTTCTCGCTCCTTCTTTCGCGACAGCACCACCCTCACGCCGCTCAGTCGGCCGGTTCCACTCTCCCTGGCAGACCCCTCTGGGGGTCCAGTCCGTGCGACCTCCTCCACTGTCCTCCCTTGTCCTGCTGTCCCGTCCGGCACACTGTCGGGTCTTTACCTCCCCTCATTCTCTACAAACTTGGTGGCGGGTTCTGCACTTCAGGACGCGGGTGTTCACCAGTTCACCCCTGCCTACGAGCGTGTGACACACTGCACGTGTGCTCAGACGGGTCGTCACCTGGCTACCTTCACTCGGCAGCCGGGGTCGGGCATGTACACACTGACCACTGAGTCCCCTCAGGTAGCTGCGTCTGCGTCTGCGTCAGGTCAGTTGTCGACCCCCTGCTCGTGTCGCGCCTTGTCGCACCAGACCCTCCTTTGGCACCACCGCCTTGGTCACCCCTCGGTGCAGCGCCTTCGCAGCATGCACCGCCGTGTCCTTGTCTCTGGTCTCCTCAGGGTTCTCCCTCCCCTCCCACCCTCGCCTGCTCCTCCCTGTCTTCCCTGTGTCGAGGGGCGGCAGCGCACCGCTCCTCACTCCTCCTCGTTCCCTCCCACAGAGGCTCCCCTGCAGACTCTCCACCTGGACGTGTGGGGCCCAGCCCGCGTCTGTGGACAGGGCCACGATTGGTACTTCCTGCTGGTCGTCGACGACTACACGCGTTACACCACGGTTTTCCCCTTCCGCACCAAGGGTGAGGTCCCTGATGTTTATGATCCCTTGGATCCGCACTACTCGTCTCTAGCTCCGCGAGCGGTTCGGGACGGAGTTTCCCGTCCTGTGTCTGCACTCTGACAGAGGTGGTGAGTTTTCCTCGGACCTCTTGGTAGCCTTCTGTGAGGAGCACGGCATCACCCAGTCGTTCACGCTTCCGGCCTCTCCGCAGCAGAATGGGGTTGCTGAGCGCCGCATTGGCTTAGTCATGGAGGTCGCTCGTACCTCCATGATCCATGCGGCTGCCCCCCATTTT